TAAAAAAGTAGAAAGAAATAAAAAACTCTGGTTGCTACAGATGGCAAAAAAGAGGCTGAACTGCCAGGAAGAGACAGGTGGCTTCTGAGTGAGAACGGTAACATATTCTCCCCAGGGAGATCAGCTCCAAAGCTGAGTTCACTCTTTCCTGCAATAAAGCATATTGATGTTAACAGTTTTCTTCTGCCTGCCCGTGTGTTTTTCAAATTAAGTATTGTTAAATCTGCAGAGTTTAGAATACTGCTTCAGATATAGTCCTTTGCTTCTACTTCCAATTCATATATCTGCCATAGGTGCAGTACAGTGCTGATAACGAGCTATGCTTCTCTCAAACAGATGTAAACTGACTTAATTTAACCCCTGTCAGAAGAGAAGAAGAACTGGTACAGGTAACCAGTTCAAAAAGTGGAAAGGGTAATTTTCAGGACTTGGAGTAGCATGTATTTATGCACTCTTCCCTGAGATGGTGAAGGGCTTATATTTGTAGCATCAGGGTTTGCAGGTGACATATTTGCATATTTATACTCAGAAAGTGATGCTGAATGCAATCCTGGACTCACCAATCTCCAGTATCAGTTTTTGCAAATTATTTTAAATGTTTCAGGACTTTATCTGTAGCATTAGGATTTTGCAGAAAAAAACCTGTGTCTTACTGGTGAAACAACATACTGGGCATGGTAGGCACCATCCAACTTTGGCTAACACATCCCTTGAAGTTTGATCTTCCGCTTCAAGTAAGTCTTTTATTGCTCTGAATTCTTGTATTCATTTGGGGTGCATGACAGAGAAAATGTGGGCATGTACAGGGCCTAAGGTTTTGCACTATTCAGGCAATGTTACCTTGTTTTTAGGGCTTATTTTCCTTTTGACTATAGGCTTTATTTTTTAGTATATATACATTCAAAGAAGAAATACCACATCCCATGCCTCCAAACTACTGTTCCATATATAGAATGAACTTTCAGTAAGACAAATAAATCAACTCCATATGAAATGCACATAGGCAGTATAACAAAACCCTGGACAGTATATGATATGGTCAGCTCCAGAAAACTTTCAGGCATTTGAAGTAATTTTTCAGTAAATCTACATTTCTATTTCAAAGGTTTTTTAATTGGTTTTTGGGTTTCTTTTTGGTGTTTGTTTGTTTGTTTTTTCAGTTAGGAATAATTCAAATGAGCCTTTAGGTAGGTGCAACACTGTTTAGTAGAAATTGGCAGAAATTGGGCACGACTACTCATTAAAGCTGTATGCAAGAATTTGAGTAGACCTTTCCCTTGGACTTGATTCAGAGGAGTTTCCATTCCCTGAATTTCACTTTGATTTCTACATTTAAGTATATGCAGGAAACTGAAAGCCAAACTGTTAGAAGAATGATATTTATGTGGTTTCATGAAAAAATTACAGGGTTTGCATGAGGTCGTTGTGAAAAAATTGCAGCTGCATTTTAGAATCTGGTCTGAATTTTAAATGTGAAACAAAATATCAGTCCTGGTGAATTTCTCATGTCTTACAATGCTGTTATAAATAGCATGCTACTCTGCTACTGATTAGACACATATCTTGAATAAACAAAGCTCTTTAGAACTAAGTCACCTTTTTAGCATGTATGAACATTGCAGGCCACATAATTTCATAACAAGATACTCAACTCATTACAAGAAAGAAATTGACATTCTTGAGTGCATCCAAAAAAGAGCAATGAAGCTAGTGAAGGGTCTGGAGCACAAGTGTTGTGAGGAGCAGCAGTGGGATCTGGGATCGTTTAAGCTGGAGGATAGGAGACTAAGGGGAGACTTGACTTATCACTCTCTACAACTGTGAATGGGTGGTTGGTTTCTACTCCCAAGTAACAAGGGGTAGAAGAACAAGAAACAACCTCAAGTAGAATCAGGGGATGTTTAGATTGGATATTAGGAAACATTTCTTCACTGAGATGGCTGTCAGGCACTGGAACAGGCCTGAAGTGAACAGGCCAGTGGAGTGGTTGAGTCACCATCCCTGAATGTATAAAAGATTTGTAGATGGGTGTAAAGCCCCAGGTCAAGCCATACTCTGCCCTGACAGTTTACTTACATTTAAGACTCCCAGGAGTTCCCACTCAAAATTCTTGCAGAGCCTTTGGTTCTTTAATACTTTAAATTCACGTAAAGAGAAAATGCTACATGTGTTTCCCAAGAGACTTCTTTAAATTTAGTGAGAAAATAGGTGTTTTGGCAAAAGGTTCACAGGAGTAACACACAACCAAAGAAAAGCACCCAGCAAACAGCAATTCACAACTTAGTGAAATACAAGCTATTGGTTTTAAGTTATCCACAAGAGATTACGGAAAGAATAAAGAAATGAAAGAGATTAAGAAAAGAAGTAAAGAGAGAGGTTAGAAAAAGAGATTTGTATAGGTACCACCAAGAGGTCACACGTTTGCAGGTCCCAGGAGAGATGGCAGGCAAAGATGGAGGCCCTGTGCACCTCTATTTATGTGCCCAGGACACTGTGGCCACCCCTCCCAGGCAGGGAGACCAGTTCATGGACCACTCAGTGCCCTCCTGGCTGGAGTGAGGGGTGAGTTGGCCAGCCAGAGGCTCCAAGGGGTGCAGCGTGGGCGGGCTGCCAGATGGGCCTTTGCGACTGGCAGGCACACAGCCCTGAGCCATGTGCTTCCTGAGCTGGCCTGCTGGCTGCACAACACGGACCTTCTGACTCTGGAGGCCTGGCCCCCTCCCTCGACACAGAAGCTGGTTGATTCCACCCAATTAATAAATAACCCAGGGAGATACAAACCGATCTCTCACAGTTAGGGACATGGTTTAGTGGTGGACTTAGCAGTGTTAAAAGTCATGGTTGAACTTGGTGATCTGAAAGGTCTTATCCAATCTAAATAATTCTATGATTCTGTCCTTCGATAAACTTTATTCTCTTGCCATCATTCTCCATGCAGCTGCTGCAGTGGAGGTCCATCATGAGAACACTGGCAGAATACATGGAGTCCAAATATAATTCACTTATTCCAGCTTTGATGATATAGTTGTCTATTGAGACTTCTGTACTGATAACAAGAGTATCCAAAACTTCCTTTTAAAAAAAAATCTGTATTTTCCAAAGTCGAACAAGAAGTGCCCAAAATGAGGTATTCAGAAATGGACATTTGTAGTGTAAGTGGAACATCTCCAGCTTAAAATTGGACTAAGAGAAAGAAAAAAACCACAAACCACAACAAAAACCCCAAGCACATGGTTATGAAAGTTGTTCCATCCATTGTAAGTCACGTAAACATAACTGCACCAGTTTATTATCAAAAAAAGCAGTCATGATTTATCTATTCGATATTACAAACCTTGCTGTTTACCTTAAAAAGTGTGCCTTGAGAATTTGACGTACAGGAATTCCAGGAACTACTTGTAAATACTTCTCCAATGATGTTAGTCTTCTTGTAGAAAAGGAATGGAGTATGGTGGAAAACATATAACAGTGGTGAGGAAATGTATGGAAAAAATCCTTTTGTGGAGTTCTCAGTTGTGTGTTGACACTGCTGGTGAAGCAAAGGACCTGGAGGCTTTGTGTTGGAGGTAGAATAATGGTGTTATTTATAAAAGGTACACTAGACTTCCAGCAGACATGTTCGGTTTCATGAGTTTTCAATATGAGCAGACTCCCTGGTGGGAGAGGACTCTTAGAACCCATTTTAGACCCTTTCTCATCCCTGCTATGTTCAGTCCAGCTAGTGCATTTTCCATCATAACCCCTTCTTACTGAGCCTTTTTAGTCTTTCTGGCTGTTTCCTTGCCTGACAAGTCCAAAGGTACCCAACCAAACTACTGCTGGTCAGTGCAAGCTGCAATCTGTTTCTCCCATTGTTCTTTCACTTCTTGTTTGAAATATCGTGCTTCAGCTTCATTTCCTAAAGCCCATCTCCATCTAGTTTATATCTTTTCTATTTTGGCCTTCAGATGTCTTCAGCGTTTATGTTCCAGTTCCTATTATGTCAGGTCAGACTACTTCTATCCTCCTATCTGACTTCTCAACATCTGTTACTCTTCTTTATTTCCCCCCTCAGTTCCTTCCCCTTCACAAACTCTGTATCACTCTCTATCTGTTCATCCAACTTTTGCTCCAGGATGGTTTTTATTTCTACTTATGTGTAGTTCTCTTAAATGGTCTGTAGTCTACTCTTACTCCCTTTTCTGTCCACAGTCCTTTGGCAGAGTTCACCTTTCCTCTGCTAGCTTCTGACTTCAGTCACTTTTCAGACTCAGCATCCAGCTCAGGCTCACATGTGAGAATGCCTACTCCATTTAGAAAGTTCTTGGATCCAGTTTGTAATATGTGCTTCAGAAAATAAACGAAATAGACAAGGGAAAAAAAAAAAAAAAAGTTGGATAGGGGCACAGCCTGCAAACTAAATTAATTCTGAACAGGGTTAGGGTTATTTGCCACTTCTATCTTAATACTTAAAAAGCAGAGTTCCCATCTTTCATGAAGTGTGTGAATCTTTGCCTTTCTGTGCAAAATTCTTCCTCTAGTAAGCCCACTTTCCTTCTAATGCAGAATAGGTTAGGTTTTAAAATTTCCCCAAAAAGATAGTGATGTAAAGACTGTCACTCAGTCCTGTTAAAAACATTCCTGCTTTACAGTTTTAGGGCAGATTCAGACCTCTTTATTGTTGGTATATTGTGTTGTAAAAGGGAGCACTTTTCTGTAAATACAAGGCTTTAGTAAAATGTGCATTCTCCCTGGAAGATTTCGGCATTTTCCGATTGGTGCCTTTTCTGGCACACATTATGTATCAGAACAGATTATGTTTCCCTCCTGTCTGCAACAATGCATGCTCAGGAGGAGAGCTACTGACCTAGCAATAAGCGTGAACAGTTCGTGGCAAGTGGTGAAGCGGAACTCCAGGAGCTGCAGGGAGAGCACTCCGTTCAGCTGTGCCATGCTGCCTGTCTCCTCCTCCTTCTCCTCCTACTCCTCCTCTCACACTCTCTCTTTCCTTCTCTTCTGTCTTCAGCTGTTACGCTTTCCCCAGACCCCTTGGCTTTGTTGTGCTGCGTGTCTGAATAGCAGGAGGGGGTTAGCCGGTCGCCGGCTCAGAAAGCTCTTCCCAGCAGGTCACCCCAACCCACCCACGCACTCCCGGGCCAGGAAACGCGCGCGGGGCTAATGGAGGCGGAGAAGCGGGGCTGAAGGTTTGCAGCAGCGCTGGGGGTGACAGGAGGCAGCCGAGCGCTCTGCAGCTTCGCGTGTCCCACCCCAGGTCCGGCAGGGGCCCGACAATGGAGTGTTGCCGCTGGACAGCCGCTGGCACCCTGCTTCTAGCCTCCCTTATCCTGGTAAATCCTCTTTCTTTCCTGCAAATGTGTATTGCCTATAGCTGGTATTATATCTTTGTGTATATATGCGAGTGGGTATGTTTTTAATCTCTTAGATTTTGTTTTAAACTAGTCGTGTAAATCTTACCCTCTCTAAAGTACTGCAGACTTGTAGCCTCGATATTGCGGGTTGCTGCAGATAGAACTGAGAAGTTGATGTTGGCATCGCTTTTCTAAACTTGGAGAGCAGTCACCTGTGAATGGTGATTTAACTGCTTGGGATTTAGAGAGGAGCTGTTTCTCCCCTCTTTGAATAAGACTGTATCACGCTGTAATGTTCCTGGAATTTTCTTTAAAAAAAAAAAAAAAAGAAAAAAAAAAGAAAAGAAAAAGGAGGGAGGAGGGAGTATTCTTCGGTTTGCACATGCAGAAAAAACAGGTACAGCATGTACGGAGCCTTTTCCTGAAGCCAGTTTAAATGAGCTGTAAGTAATTACAGCTGTAAATTAGTGCCGTAAGTCATTACAGAGTCAAGTTTATACCAACTTTTGAAAGATACGTTATGTGATACCTGGTATATTTCAGGCCAGTAATTGATCGTTACTCTATTATTTTCCTGTATACTTATCCCGATAGCGTGCTTTACAGCTGAGTGCTGTAGCTATGCTGTTTGATTGACCTTATATGTTCCATTTTGACTCATTTTTGTGAGTGGTATGTTTGCAATCAGGAAATCTGCAGTAAGGACATTAATAGGCATGGTCTTGATACCATAGTCATCTTAGCATACATTTGTTATCTTTTTCTGAAAATTTGCCTGAATGTAGTTGTTCAAGTAGCAAAGAACTATTAAAAGAAATGTATTAACTTTATAGCAGCTTGCGTCTTATGGATCTGTATAAAACAATTCAGGGTAATCATTGTAAACTAATCTTAACATGCGTTTTAGTAGCCACATGGGAACCCAAATAGTGGTATCATCCTATTCAAAATGCTTATTAAAAATTACTGTATTATTGAAAAAAACCAAAGAAACTTTTTGGTGTAGATTCACTAAATATTAATTGATTGCTAGAAATAATAATCTAAAAGTCTTATTTTGTTTAAAGGTCTATTTTCCATTTAAAATTCACACAAAACTGCATTAAGTCAGCATAGATTTTCTTTTGTTTATGAAAATGAGACATTTATGACCTGATGACTGTAATATATTATGAGCCATTCTTGCAGGACTGATTTAGGGAAGATCAACAGGAGATATGACTGAACAAGACTGTGTAAAGACTGTAGGATTTGGCCCCACGTTAAGTTCATACTCATAATATTTGTACATCACTCTGCTGCTTGTGAATTAAGTTCTCAGTCCCTGATTCATGAAAATAAATAGTACATTCTGCTGCCAACTATTATGCATTATATTCCACACTACTAGTTTGTATTTGTATGACTTACCCTACCTCAAGAGATTTGCCACCACCTCCCACCAAATCTCTTTGTGCCTTAAGAATAGTGATGTGAAGCAAGCTTAACTTTCTTTTTTGAATCAGACCATTCTTTTTCTCTTCCATAGTCAGGAAAATCTCTCACTTGCTTTCAGCAGGAGATTAGGTAAACATGCAAGTATTTGACTTACAGCTTGGCTAGAGATAAATTGTTGGCTACCTTGGTATACTTGTTCCTGCTGTAGTTTATTGCAGTATGAGTTCACAGAAGGCATGGTAGAAAGCTCATAGATGTTTTTGAGAAAAAAAAAAAACCTAATATCTAGGACACTAATATCCAGGTCACAGCAGGCCTGTGACCTGGATATTAGTGTCCTAGATATTAGTTTTAGTCAAGTAGATGGAGCAAGTTTGAAATGTATGACACTCAGTATTTGGATTAATGTGTATCACCTTGAATCTCAATAAAAACCCAACACCAGCAGCTTCTAGCACTCTAGTTTTCATCAGCAGAGGTTCCCAATTGTAATAAGGCTGTGCAATAAATACTTACAGGACTGGTCTTGTAATAATTTATCATATGTTCCTAAATTTTCATTAAGACACTGTAGAGCAAAGTAGCACCTAAAGTCTTTGTTCAGCATCCTTGTCTGAGGAAGGAGGTTGCACAGCCCGAGGACATGCACAGCCTATGCACATGTGATGCTAAGGTAATCTTAGCAGCCCTCAAGCTGTGACAAATCCATGGACAGCAACATCAATAACCTCTTCTGTTTCTCTCATTAGCAGGTGCCTGGAGTGGTATAGTAGGGAGTGTAGCTCACTACTCCATCTGGGTTCTTAACCTTCTTCGGAAAAAAATTGTATTCATTTTCAGTAGAGTGGTGCTTGAGTGAGGTGAGTGGTGGTCAGTAGTTTATTTTATTAACTGCACTAAAACTTGTGCCATACTCAGACATCCAGTTTCCCTGGCATAAATGTGGATTAGGTACTTCCATGGCATTTTGAGAATCTGAACCATGACACTATGATGCCTATCTTGAAAAAGTAGTATCAGACTGAAAGTAGCTTTCAAGTTTCTCATGAAGTTTCTCTCTTTCCAGAGGAAGACCATGTATGTGGAGAATTTTGCTTATTGCTCTGTGAACTTTTGCGTGCTAAGGAAATATTAGCATACCACTTTCAAGAGCAACAAAGGAAAGCAGGCATTCTGTTCCGAAGATTTTCCGGTGTATTAGTTTATAAATAAAAGCTTAACACAAGGAAATTATAGTTGTCCAACTCAAAGGAAATGTGACTAAAACCATAACCAGCCACGTGTTCAACCAAACTTGAAGTTACATCATGTGATGTCAGAAGGGCATTTAATCACATTTGCATTTGTTATTTGCATTTATTTGCATCTTTCAGCAGCTTTTTTTTTAGCCCTCTTTCTTGCTGTTATGATACTTACAGAAGTAAAAGTAGTAACTGTAATAAAGTGCTTATGTTTTTCTGCAGGATTTCTTTCTTTTGCTGTGCTAATTTATACGTGGAAAATAGTCAAGCACAGTAGTCCATTTCTTCCAGGCTCTTTGACATTACACTTCTTGATTATCTGTCTGGATCTGTCTTGGTTGACTACAAGCACAATTAGCCAGTGAAAGGAGTATAATGTTTCTTATTTACATCTTACTGTACAAAGCTTGACAGTTTTTCCTTTTGTGTGTAGATAGGTCTACCTGCTGCTGTAGTCTGCTCATTTCTACAACTGTAGCTGTACTGAGATTTTTCTTTCCAGTATGAGGTCTAAAGTAGACACATATATGTTCATGCATAATTATGTATGCGTACAGACTGTCATTTAATCACATCAGGTGGGTAAGGATGCACTGAAATACAAAGCTGAGATTTATTCATGCTACAGAGTGCATAATTTCTCACCATTGTGGTTTGTGACCAGTGCTGCTGTATTCCAAATATCTCATGTCTATAAACCAAAACAATTTCTTTTGTGAAGGACTAGATGCTAGTACGTATGTGTGATCAGAATTTCTTACTGTATTACTTTAGATTTCTATGTTTGGACCTATTTTATTGACCTCTTCTTTCAGATTTTTTTTTTTGTTTTTTAAGTATATAATTTGTTTACTCTTTTTCTGTCAAGTGCAGAGACTTGTGTGAGCTGAACTAAGGTTGTGCATTGGAATTTTTTTTTAGATTTCAGTGAATGGTTTTGGGTTTTAGTGAATAGTTTTTAAGTCAATACTTAATGTAGGCTGTTGAGCTACTGGTCTGCTTCACCAGTGTCAGTAAGTTTGACATGTTCTTTTAATGACTTTGATAGATTCATAAGCCTGCGAAAGAATAATAAAAAAAGGTATGAAATTGAAATATTAATTGAAATAAAAAAAGGTATGAAATATGAAAGGTATGAAATTGAACACTGTGGAGAAACTGAGGATTGGGATATGGTCAACTCTATTCATGGATCTGTCAGTTGGACAAACTTCAGTGCTCAGAAGGTTCACAAGTTCATGTCAAGCCTGAGTGGGCCACATGACCAGACAAATAATTCTTAAGGAGGGGACTGGCAACCTCTGCATGACTGAATTTTCCCTGAAGCAAATAAAAACTGAATCCCATATGACTGTGTTGTTGGGCATCCAAATATAACCTCATGGTTTCTGTTATAGCGTTGTATTGTCAAATCTGCAGGCAGCAGCTTTGTTTTTATTACTTTTTTAGCTATTTTCTTCAGCTTGTAGTAAGACTCAGAACTGTATGGGAAACAATTATATGGGAGGAAAATGGGAAATTGCAATTTGTGTTCTCTTGTATGAGGAAGGAAAGAAGAACAGTAAGATCATCCTTATAGAAACAATCAGAAAGCTGAAGGTAGTGAGAAAAACAGAACACGCCAACCACCAGAGCAGGGAAAGGAAAAAAAAATTACTTGTCCCAGCCCAAACCAAGAACTTCTCATCTAACAGACAACAACTAATCAAAGATTGTCAGGAAATGTTTAGTGTCACCAGAATATGGTACTGTGGTATGAGACATGACTAATTCTAGCTCATGAATTAGCCTAGGTTTTGCTGTTGTGTTCTCCATCTTCTCATGTCAGCTTATGAACAGTAGGCTTGTCTTAACAGATGGCTGTCCAGCTTTGCATATGCAGTTTTGTAACATTTTCTGGGTCTTACATATATGTGTTCAGGCAAAATGGGGCAAGTAAGCAAGAGCTATACATTTCATGGAGTGGGAAAATCTTCTCTAGGTCCTTGACCCTGTCCAGTGTTGAACACAGACCAATAATAGTTAAAGCTTAATACAGTCTGATCATTTGGCTATCCTTCTATCTCAGGGAATGTAAAACATTTTGTCATCGGTCTGAGTTTTTCTGTCATGCACACTAGGACTAACTGTACGCGTTCAGACCTGTTTAGAGCTAATTAGCTCAAATTTTTCCTTTGGCAAAAGGGACAAAGGAAGAGGGTCCTCTACTGAGTATTATAGATATTAGAAAGATTTAAAGGTTGGTATTAGGGTTTTAAAGGTTTCATTTGTCTTTCAAGATTTTATGCAGTATCTTATCTT